GTAATCAACAACTAAAAGGTAATTAAGTAAATTGACTGGGGCCAAAAGGAGAGGGAACCCTGAAATAAAACCTTTTATTTATTTTGCCTTTAAGCTTGTAAAGACACTGATTCAGACCCCTGTTTGTTATGTTTTGATCAGGTTACCAAGTTCTAGCACCGGCTGCTTACTATGATCAGACTGGAGCACTGGTTATGGGTCCTGGAGCTCGCACTGGCCTGGGTGGACCTGTCCGACTGGTCCAAACCCCTCTCCTCATCAACCCAGCAGCTGCACAAGCTGGTGAATATGCTTGTTTTTGCGTTCTTTTTGAACTGAAAACCTTTTCGGAACTTTGTATTTAATAATGTTTTTTTTAAATTCTGTTGACCAAACTGATTTACATTTTTGTTTCATTACATTCTTTCCTTCTTCTTTGACTTCTTTCCATCCTCTGTTGTCTAGCTGCAGCTGCATCTGCATCAGGTTCTGGTAACAGCATGTCTGGTCCTGCTAATGGTCTGTACCGATCCATGGGTTGCCAACAGCCCCAGCAGCCTCAACCTCAGCAACAGCCACCTCCACACTCTAGTGGCCTGCCCTCCAACTCCTTCTATGGCTCTGGCTCAGTGGTGCCCAGCTCCCAGAGCAGCTCACTATTCTCTCATACAAGCACAGCACCTCCTAGCACCTCTCTGGGTTTCAGCAGCACTGGTGGATCTCTAGGTGTTGGGCTAGGCTCTGCACTTGGTGCCTTTGGCTCCTCAGGTTTGTTGCACCCTTTGCACCATTTGCATTTGCATCCATGAGTGACTGTTAACAAAGTAAAAAAAATTTGTCAAATCAACCCCTTTTTATGTTCCGTATTGATTGTGTTACATCAATGTGTTCTTAAACTTTGTAACTTAATGAACTGTTTAATTTAAATAGGCTTTTGTGCTTTAGCTGGTACTGAGCCTGAGATGGACTCGGCGCTTGTCATTTATCAGAGTTTTCAACAACATGATTATGAAGATTAAACGATTATGAAGAGAAACGATTGGTACTAGAAACTGAACATTATTTAAAAATTATTATCCGTAATCTACAGCCTCTGCAAACGGAGTGATGTCCGTTTCTTGAATGAAGGGGCAAAATTAAAGTTGTAATGGTTTCTCATTATGTAAAAAGATGGGCTGCTAAAGACTAGTTTGTTCACATTATATGCATTAAAATTAATTTAAAACGTCCATATTTCACATTATTATTAGGTGCTTTAATAATATAATTGCGTGTATGTTGCATCATTGCATGATTGAACCAGTTCATTGAAACGAACTTCAACTTCAAAAGAACCAGTTCATGTAAAAGAATCGAATTTCACCATTACCTGAGGCTATGGATTACAGGTAATATTGCAAATAATTTTCAGTTTCTTACACAGACCGATTGATTTGTTTCATAAAACCTCAATATATCATCAGGAGCATGGGTATTTGTTTTGTGGCATGTGATAAATTTGCATGTTGCACTCTGACTGTCACTGTGTGGCATTTACACAAACATGCACGAACAACTAACATGATCGTTATAAAGCTATTTAAATCGCAAAATACATTTGCTTACACAATCGAGAATTAGAATATCAATTATTTCACAATCTAGTTGAAAAAACAAAACAAAAAATCAATACATTAATCAAATTTAAGTGTCAAACTTGTTTTATAGTCATGGAAATAGGAATGTAATGCATTATATGTTTTTGTTTTTTCAAAACATTTTAATAAAAATATTTTAATAAAAACGGTAATAGTCTGTTTAAAAATTACAATTCTAAAACAGAGTTCCAATGCATAAATATACAGTATGTAGTTTTTGTCATCAACCACACCATTGCCAATTTTTATATTTAAGAAAAGTTTTATGTAACAAGCATGTTTTATGTAACAAACATGTTTAATGTTTGTTACGGAATATGATTAATTAAGAAATAAAGACTTCTCCCAAAATAACCAGAATTGAATGTTTTGGTGCTGTTTTGTTGTATCTTCGTGAAATTCTTGGGGTATGTGTGCCTTTGTAATCATCAAACTCTAGAATTGCCCCTGATAATGAGCTATGAAATTGGTTTTACATTTTCCTGATGTGATGTGGAATGGGCAGGAATTGAGTATCTGAGCTTCAGAAATGAATACTCTTGCTTTAGGTGAAGGAACTGACTGAATAGAGTTTGAGACGCATGGATTAGGTTGTCATGGCAGATCAGTTCGTCAGTTGTGCTCAGTTGATCTTATCTTTCTCTTTTTCTTTTTGTACTTTTGTACTCTTGTACTCCTACAGTATCAAGTGCCACTAGCAGCTGCGCAACCCCTCGGGACTCCCTTTTGGCCAGCTCTGACCTGTATAAGCGTGGTGGTGGTAGTAGCTTGACGCCCATTGGCCAATCTTTTTACAACAGCCTAGGATACTCTTCCTCCCCCAGCCCCATTGGACTGACGCCTGGTCACTCCCCTCTGACACCTCCACCCTCTCTGCCCTCCTCCCATGGGTCCTCATCCAGCCTCCATCTGGGTATGATCTCTTAGTTCAACTGATTTATCCAAATCAGAGTTTGTTTCCCTGATCTATATAATGACTGAATTGCTCATTGCGTTCTAAACTGCTATCAGACAGTGAAGCTACCAGAAGTGCTCAAGCGGCCATCTTACTATTCCCTACTGACAGAGGGCATCATTAGCCGCGTTTCCACTGTCGGGCCAAAAGCGGTCGTGCTAGTGCATGCCAGGGCCAGTCGCGTTTCCACTGTCACTTCCGGGGCTTGATCGTGTCTCGTCGGTGCTTCCTCGGGTTTTTATCGGGTTTTTTGGCCCGACGAAAACCTTGGACCAAAGCGGGCCAGCTAGAGGAGTGGTTATGAACAAAGGCGGAGTTTCTCCACGTCTGGAGAGTGCCAGCGATCATTTCATAAAGTTAACAGCTGACACCAGCATTAAAGGCTTTTAAAATAATTTTAGCTCAAAACTCACTTTCAGACAGCAGCGAGTGTTTGAAATAACTTCTGTTTGAGATCCGATGTGGATTATGATCACCATACAAGGCAGAAATATTTATAAGCGATGCAAAAGACTGCATGCTAGCCATTAACGTTAGGCTACCATAGTAAACATGTTAAATACAACCGCTTGAACAATTCAGACGTCAGCTTCTTATTCTCTATCACAATTGTGTATTTATTTAGAAACATTTTATCTGTCATAAGTCTCGTCTCGAGAGTTAGCTCCGCTTATGTCATAAAAATATAATAATGTTTTTTGTTCGGGAGCTTTTATAAAAATATAGAAATGATCATTCTTTCTAAATGTGATGTATATACTGTGACTACAAATCAACAGTAACAGACTCGACTGAGTAAGTAGGTATGCTATGTTCATACCGCTTTATTTCTGTGTGACTAATTTTCAATCCTGATACATATGATCAATGTATCTCTTATTATTGTAAAACATCGATGCTTTTGGATTTAAATCTTTAGCAAAGCATGCAAACAAACGGCCGCTTTTATCATGTTCGTTTTGTGATCGCGCTAGTTCCAGTGACTTATTTCTTATTAGTTTTCTGCACTACCTGCGTCACTGAACTTGCGACACAAACACAACAGAACCGCTAGATTTAAATCAGCACAGCCAGCGAAGGATTGAATGCAACTGTTTTGAACGAGCGCACCTTTTTTAACAACCAAAAAGTGGCTGTTCCCCCAGTTGAGGAAGTACAGACTCGTTGATAGCAGAGGAGCGGATCCAGCGAGAGCTTGATGGGGCAATGCGGAATGAAAACGTTTTTTAGGAGTCGCGGCAATAGAGGCGGCGCAACTATAACGACATGTGAATAATCCCGCCCACTCTAAAGCGATACTAAACTGCAGTGGAAACGCTAACCGAGCCGAACCGAGCCGTGCCGTGCCGTACTGAGCCGAGCCGAGTCATACCACGCAGTGGAAAAGCGCCATTAGCCCCGACCGGCCCGGCCCGTTTAAAGCACTGGCTCGCACTGGCCCGACAGTGGAAAAGAGGCTATTGACTGACAGCCAAAACCTTGACCTAAAACTGCCCGATCTGAAGTGCATCAGTCACGCAGGATTAGTTTTGTAATATAATTTTGTAATACTAAGTGTATGTAAATTATTTTTTACTTTAGATGTGATCTGCAATGTTTATGGTCTTTTCGGGCAGGATAAGCGATTTATTGAAATTGTTAAGGTGTGTGTCTGCTGCGCACTTGCCGACATATGTAAGTGATCCAACACAAAATAAATGTATTTCGCGACATTAAACAAATACCCATTTACATACTTAAGACGTTTGTGTTGTAAGAATATACAGGGAGACCTCAGATATAAAAACGCTGACTCGTTATGTGATGTATTCATTAAACTCCTATGATTCCCTATTAATACAATAGAATGTATGGGAATACTAGGAATACCAATATGATGGTGCGGTGGCTTCACTTTTATGATGTCATGAGCAATCCAGTTGTCTATTATAGATCAGTGGTTTGTTTTCCAGTTTGGGTTAAATGAAAACAATTTTCACAACAAGCAAACTCAAACTAAGGTCAAATGGACTGGTCCATTTTAAAAGCTATGTGAGAATTTTGTTGCCCCCTGAAAAGTCTTTGAGCTTAGTTTGGTTTGGTTTGTTTAGTGCAATGGATTTCAAAGTGTGGGGCATGCCTGCCAGGGGTGGTGCTCATGTTCTGCAGGAGAAACTATACAAGCGAAGAAAACTCTAAACTCAAAATCCTGTTTTCATCTCTCTCCTGCTCTTCTCAGGTGGTCTGACCAATGGCAGTGGTCGTTATATTTCGGCTGCACCGGGAGCAGAAGCCAAATACAGGAGTTCAGGCAGTACCTCCAGTCTTTTTAGCTCTAGCAGTCAGCTCTTTCCCCCACCACGAGCCCGCTACAGCCGCTCAGATGTCATGCCTTCGGGACGTAGCCGCTTATTAGAGGACTTCCGGAATAATCGCTTTCCCAACCTGCAGCTGCGAGACCTGCCTGGTCACATGGTGGAATTCTCTCAAGACCAGCACGGATCCAGGTGCCAACTTCTCCCAGTATATACTTTTGCAGGATTTTGGAAATCCTGGATTTTTTTTATACAGCTTTCCAGTAATGGAAAATGGGGAAGATTACCTTAAAAAAAATTATTAGTTGGTTCTCTCAAGACCAGCACGGATCCAGGTCCCAGCTCCTCCCAGTTTATGCATTTGCAGGATTTTAGAAAAACTTTGGATTTTTTAAATTCAGTTTTCCAGTAATGACAATGGGGAAGATTACCTTAATACCCAGAAAAATAATTAGTTGTTCGAAAATGTTTTAGAATCACATTACTTTTAATACTTGTGTTCATTGTATGTCAGTCTTTTACAATTTCTGACATCTGTT